ACATGAATAATTTTATTTCCATTTCACAATGAGGCAGGCCTTTCTGTTGTTCTATATCACACAAAAAGCTGTTAAATTATATTAAATGTAGTGAAAATGTTTACATCCTGTGAAGACTTTCGTAAAGCAGTGTAAATGTTCAGTAAAAGAATTCCCTGTTGTGATTATAAACCATATCCATTAACCTGACACTACTCACTATATTCTATTTCTCCTATTCGACTTTCATCTCTCACCGTATTTATCCTTCCCTTCCTCTGCCATATTCCTGTCAGGTTCTCTTGCTCTGATGCTCATCAGTTGTCTTCGTCTTCTTATCTTCTGTCTCCCTTTTTTTCCACATTTCCCCCTAAAACCATTTCCACAAAGCTTCTGAGAGCAGAGGCATAAAAGTCATCTCACCTCCTTTTGCCCCCGCCGCCCTTCCCCCCCAGTGTCATGAGAAGTGGAAACAGAATGAGTCATAAAGCAGAAATCCTAACAGAATGAAATTTAGAAGAACAAAAAAAGTTTCACTAATAACCCACTTTATTTTGTTTCTCAACAAAATGGTTTACAGGTGTTCTCGTGTCAGTTGTTTTAGTGGAAGACCTGTTATCTCTCTTTCACCTGAGTACAGGTTAGGTTTTTTTTTATTTTCAAAAATCTGAATAAAAGCAGAACACTGAGTATTTGGAGAGAAGATGGCGCTCTACACATCTGGACGAGTTAACCTGGAAATCCCGAGCTAGAAAAAAAGAATATTTAAACAAGAATATTCAAAGATTTCTTTATTACTTATCAGACAGCATGGGGTAAGTTTCTACTGATTATATGCAGAAATATTTATCCATAAATCCAGATGAAGCCAATCAGTTAGATATACTATGAAAATGTGTTGAAAACCAGTCCAATGAAGACCAGACTCCAGTTCATCTGACCTGGAATTCTGCTAAACAGAAATTATGTGATATTGACTTTTTTTTTTAGCTTTACATCATGTTATAATGTTATCACCTCATCAAAAACATACCTGGAATGTTGAATTGATTCTTTTATGCATATTTGAGGAATCTTTTCATTTCCATTGCAACCATTCAGCTGTGCAAAATGCCTGGGTGGAACTAGCGCCGCCTCACTGAGCAGCACAACTCCTCCTCTCAGCTCCTTCAGACTAGTCAGCAGCAATTAGCAGACCCCTGGTGGAACCGTGCATCAGCTGAGCTCATTATAGCTACTTGTTACAGGGTTAATAGAGGAGCCATGTTGTGATGACTCACTGGAGGCGGGGTTTCAGAAAGAGCAGGAGATTTTTAAGCAGACAGAGGTCCAATTTCAAGGTGTTAAATTGATACATATATATATATATATATATATATATATATATATATATATATATATATATAGAGAGAGAGAGAGAGAGAGAGAGAGAGAGAGAGATAGAGAGAGAGGGAGAGGGGCTTCGGTCCCCATGAGGAGCAGTGAGTCCCCACAACGTAGTATGTGTCAGGAAAATGGTCCCCACAGGGTATTGCAAACAAACTGACACACACACAGACAGACACACACACACAGACACACACACACACACACACACACACACACACACACACACACACACGCCTACACGCAAACACACACAAAGCACAGCTGGTCGTGGTAGGGGCAAGTTTAAATGAAACCATTCTATTTTTCTGTCAGGCTGTTGACAGACAGGTGTAATTAATACATTTCTTAATTTAGAGGTTTCATTCAACATTCAATATAGCTTTTAAACCATTTTTAAAAAAGAAAACTATATGTTAGTATAGAAAAAAAACGTGTAATTTTAGTGTTTGCACTGTGACAGTATGAGCTATATGAATGTTGAAGTTTTGGTGAGGCGTACCAGTTCCAGCATCACAATTCCTGCTCTCTCCCGGGCTGCCTGTGGGTACAAGGTAACACCATGGTGCACTCATGTGGGTGGTGTGTGTTTCTGTGTGGGAGGGTGTGTGAAACTTTCACTACAACACACAGACTAACAGCTAGAGAACTCTAAAACGGTTGACATCTAAGCAAAATTGACTCATTTACAGGAACAAAAGCTTTTAATATTGAAGGATTCAATGTTTTTATTAGAAAAAAGAAACCTCACAAACTGAAATAGGAAAAATTTATGTCTAATTTTAAAATGCAAACCGTTTTTAACATGGACTTTATATTTAATTTAGTAAAAGCCTTCTAAGTTCATTGTTATCCATTCCTTTTGCAGATATTGTGTCATATTAAAATGACTTGAGTAACAGCTACAGTCTTTTTCCAATCTTTTAGCACAATTTAGAAAATAGGGTTTTCATAACATTTCACATAATTAGCATAACACCATAGATGATTTGTTAAATGGAACACTAGAGTCAGAACTCTACAAAACACCCAAACATCCATCATTCAGTCTGATTCAGTCAAACACTCCAGAGCATTTTAATTATATATTTTATATATTTTTAATTATATATATTTTTTTAATGACTAACATTACATGACACTGCTTGTGCAGACCAGAGAATTTATTTATATCTCTTCATGTCCCCAGTTTTTTTTTGTAATTGCCTAAATTCAGAAAAAGAAAAATATCACTGTATGGTACTCATGTCAAACTCAAGGCCTGAGGGCCAAATCCGGCCCGCCATAGTTTTTTATGTGGCCCTCTAGATTTTAGAGGGATGCATAAACAGAACCATCAAGATGACAGTGTGCTTAAGTATTGTTTTATCAACCAAATCAAAGCAGTGGGGGCAAAAATTATGAAAAACATTGAGTTGAAGTGATGCTAACTTTCTTACTTGTACAAAACAGCTGCCTCAGCCTTAATTGATGTCAAATTATAGTCTATGATCTATACTGCTGAGGAATAAAATGTTGAATTTACCGTCATTCATATGTGCAATTATCACAAATGTTTAGAAATTAATCACAAAACCAATCGCAAAACCCTGGAGGGATTGAAAAGATAGTCAATATAATGTAATTTTAAGAATTTGTTAATATTTTAAAAGTTTGTTCACATGTTTTATCAGTACATTCTGACACAACCGGTCCTTTAAGAGCGTCCATGATCTTGATTTGGCCCAAAATGAAAATTAGTTTGATACCTCTGCTCTACAGGTGTTCTTGGTTGTTTTCATGTCAACTCAAACTCCACATTATCAAAACAGCTAACACACCTGAGCAGTGACACACTTTGCTTGCAAAAGGCTCTGATTGTGCCAAAAATGTTCAAAATACAAAGGTCAATATTGCCTTTAAACAACACAACCTGCAACTAAGCGTATGAGCTCTTCCATTCAATCATCACATAACGGGCAATAAAATGCAATAAAAAGCACTTTGAAATGCCTTGCTGCTGAAATGTGCTATATAAATAAAATTTGATTGATTGATAAAATAAAAAACTTTCTTGTCATTGCAGTCATGCCAGTGTAATTTGTTATCTTTAAGACTGTGCCAGATGTTCCTTCTTGCAAAGGATCTAGAATCAGAAATACTTGCAATTTTTTTGTCTTTCAAATTTTTTTCTTCTTCTTAGGAAGTTAAGAAAAATAATAAAATCTATTACAGCAAAGAAATACCCACCATTGATACTCATTCTCTTCTCTCTTAAAGTCGGGGCCACATCTGCCTTGGATTCATGCTGGTGAACAGAAACACGTTGCACCATTTAAAGGGGCAGTGTTATGTATTTTCCAAGTAGAAATGCGTCCGTTTTAATTGATTTAACACAATCAAGTAACTATACTACTTTCAGGTCTTATAGAAATGCTGTAGATACCATAAATGACTTAAAATAAATTTGACTTTGTAATTTAACACCTTGAGATTGGTTGAGCAGATGAGCAGTTCCACGAGGTTTTTACTAATTGCTATGGAAACTGCATCTCTAAGGCGGAGCTTCATTTCGAAGGCGGAGCTAGGTCCACCCAGGTGTTTTTACCAGCATTGCACTGAGAGTATGAGCAGTGTTTGTTAATTGCTGCTGGCTAGTCTGAGGGAGTGGAGTTGGTCCACCCAGACACTTTACACAAGTATCTGCATGGTTGCCACGGGAGATTAAAGGATTTCTCAAATCATGCATGAAAGAATCAAAGCAACACTCCAGGTGTATTTCTGATGAGAGAATAACATCATAACATGATGAAAACCTCAAATAAATATATTTAATATAATGCTGCCCCGTTACAGCCTGCAGACTGATTTCTAGTTGAAGATTTGTGTAAAGGAAACTACGATATCACGATAGTTAAAACTTTGGAGTTTGGACTGTCTCAGTGACATCTATGTTAACTATTTTGCAAATGGTTGAGGAAAATGTGTCAAACCAATGAGAAATGGTTAACACATTTGGAAGAGGACACGTCTTCCGCTCTGCTGAACTGAGGATAGAAACTGAGTGGATCCCAGTTTCTTTAAGTAGGTCAAAGCAATCAAGAAAAACTGTCATATCAAGAAGTAGTAGAAGTAGTAGAAAAAATAATTACTCAACCAAAGGGTTGAATAATTATTTTTCCATTCCTTTATGCATTTTACGGTATACAAAAAAGCTACAACATAGAAACAATGACCTGAAATATTAGTCAAACTACTAGATCATACAAAACAATACAGATTATCTACATGTTGAGAGTTATTGATAATGGAGGGTAAGTCTTTTCTCAGGTGTTCACACGGTGTATGGAAAATCTGGACAGAACTCCTAACCAGATGATTACCACTCTTTCTGCTGAGCCACAGCCACCTGTGATAACTTTGCACAACAAAATAAAACATGGCCGCAAATACTACCAGCCCATATGACCTAAGCTACCTCCACAGTTTGACAATCTTTTGTGAAGATGGTCTTTGCTTAGAAACATTTGGGTTCACAGACACACTCCACTCTCGCCACAGCTCTCCGTTCGTTATGCTAATGCTGACTCTCAATAGCAGCCATTGTGAGGCAGAGCGGCTGCTGAGTTAAGCAGCAGCTTAACGATTATCAAAGTAGAAAACAGAAAACCCTGAACTGCCTGCCATGCTACATTTTGAAATCCACAATAGTAGCAGGACATGAAGAAATAATCTCATGAATGAATTATCCCAGACATCTACTAGAACGATTCAACTCTGCTGTTTTGAGCTGGTTATGTTTGAAATGACACATTTGGAAATGGAAAAGATTGATTCATGAAATTAAAAATAAATAAATTTAAAAAATTGCATATTAAACGTTTTTTTGTATAAAAAAGCGGTGTTTTGGGAGCATTATGGTATGACATATTAACTACAAAATGAAGGAAAAGGATAGTGGCTGAAATTTGACTATTTAATGTAGGCTAACATGGAAATATCAGTGCAAAGATGGGGATGGATATACAAAATATATGTTTGTTTTATAAGAATATAATTAAAGATTTTGGAAGTGAGGGAATGCTGAAAAATTTTAAAGACTTAATACTTTAAAATCTTTTTATGCTTCCTTTATCAAAATTCTTTGGTTCTGGAGGCTGAAGCTAACTGCTAAGCTAACGTAGACTGAAGCCAACTTTATTTATTTATTTATTTTTTTTACTTTATTTTCTTCGGTTCTTCGACAGGAAGGTGGTGTGTGAGAGAGGGGTAAGACATGCGGCAAAGATTAACAGGCCAGGATTCAAACCTGTGACGACGTAGAGGACTGAAGCCTCTGCTGGAGGTAAAACCTCACCAGTTTCACCACAGTTTCATTTGATTCTGTTGTGCTGTAGGAGTGAAATTGAATAGAATTTCAAGTTATAACATTGACAAATAACATTTACAAATAAATATGCTTTCTTGAAATGTAAGTCAAGACTTTATTCACATCGATTTCTTACAACAGACGGGAATAAATTAAATACAAACGGATGTGGTCTACATCGCCATCCAGTGGTGTGGGAAGATATTGCATGTAATCTCTTGAAAAGAGTTTGACATATAACTAGTTATAGTTTATGCATGTAGCTTTATGTTTGTGAGGGATCTGAATGTAAGAGAAGGATGTTTTAATTACAAACTTAAGGCACACAGATAACTCATTCTGTTGGTCATAAATGATCACATCTATTGATTTATGAGTCAAAATACAAGTTTCTGCATTCAGGAGAAAGAAATTTCCCTACTAGTAACTTTTTTCCCCTTAAAACAGGAAACCACCCGTCTTTCATTCTGTTATTTTTCTGCAATTCAAGCAGTAATCATCACTTCCTCCTTGTGTAAATGGTTAACTCAAAAATCTAGGCACTCTGAGCTCAGATTACGTCTACTTTCAGAGGTGACTGTGTCCTTAACAAGCTGCCTGCGCTCCTTCTTTTGCTTTCTTCAGCTTCATGCGTCTTATTCTGTCCTGGAACTCTGACAACATTTATTTTGTTAATATCTGTCTGAAAACTTTCAAAAAACGTGAAATTAGCGAGTCATGTTTGTGGAAACAAACGAAAGCAAAACGGGATCTTACCTGAGCTGCTGTCCAAAGGTAAGGTACTATTAATTATTTTTTTCTTTCTTTTTTTTTTTTAAATCTTTGTCCTTAGGTTTGGATTTGTGCCTGAAGGTAAACTCAGAAGCAAAACAGAATGACTTGCAAGCTTTTCATTTGTCTTAATTAGCAGCAGCACCTTAAGTGGAAGTGACCTCACAATCCTTACAAAATAAATACTGATTATTAGTATTTTCATACTTTTGAGAGGAAAAGCTTCAAAATACTTCAATTTATCTGCTAAATTGATACCCTCATGAATTTTATGTACTATAATTCTAGAACACATTGTTATTGTGGTCTTAAGTTAATAATATTTGACTAATAAATTAATTACTTTGTCTACTAACTACTTGAAGCAGCTATTATGATAAACAGCTGACGTAGTGACAAAAATATAGAGGTGCACCATTGAGAGTTTTATTTTCAGGGATCACTAACAATTAATAATTTATTAATATATGTTGTTTTAAACTTTAAAAGAATTCAACCGGGTAACCCTTTCTCTTAAATTACAGCCCACTAATTAACATGTAATGGCAAATATTTAGTAAGTGACTAATAAGAAAAAACAAATTGCCTGACTGTAGAAGAAACTGTTACCTTAGTATAACTGAAGCTGTAAAACCTTCAGTTTCATTTTGCCTGCTGACGTCCAGCTGCCTGTGGTAGCAGACTGAATGAATCAGATTCATTTCTAGAAGGTTTTGTTCTTCATTTGCAAACGTGTCTAATTAGTCATCCTCCCTCAGTAATGGTTTCCTCACAAAAGCGTTGGTATTTATACCTGGTAGTGCTGCTTTGTGGTGGATTCACTAATTGGGTCAAACTTTTGTTTCACTCTCACTCACTCATGTTGGATTTATTTCAAAAACATCTCTCATGCAGTTATGTGGAATGCAAACTGCTGCTTTTGCAAAACGAAACTACTTGAATAAAATTTGCTGGTTCTATTCTGCTTACCAAGTAGAATAAAATCCCATATAAAATGTAGAACTGAGGAAGTGTAATGCTGTTATAATTTAGGAAGCACTTCAGAGAGATATAGAAAATATTTAAAAAATGATTGACTTTTAGATTTATAAAGAACTATTAAAAATAATTATGATTTGCTTATTTATTAAGCATAAAGAAATACAGATAAAACATAAATGTACATTTAATTCACAATGACCAAAAAACACAAATGTGTTTTTCAGGTATTTTAAACCATTCATATGTTTTAGGTTTAAGTGGATTGAGCGTAAAATCATTCTTCCCATTGCAACTCCAAAAAATCATTATGAATACTGCAAATATTTAAAGATTTCATAATGGATTGTCTGACTTGATTTGACTTGATTAATCATTTGCTGCAAAATGGACACATTAATGATTTACTCTCTGCATGTGATCACAGAAACAATCACTGAGGAAGTTTACTGCCTTGTTTGTGTAGCTGATTGCTGGTTGTGTGTTTGCTCTCTGCTTTCAGGGTTTGGAGCAAAACAAGAGCAAATTTCAGTGGGAAGTCCAAAACTATCTGTGAAAAGTCTCTCTGCAGCTTTTAATTTGTGCTTTGACTTTCCCCTCACAGTGAACTCTTGTTATCAGAACTGCACAGACTGGATCCTATGTTATCTGTAAACAGAGCCCGCCTCTGCTAAGGACCAAGAACACCACAAGAACATCCCGTTTGTTGCCCTCAGAAGCCGAGAGCGGACTCACTTTTCAATTTTCCGGGGATTTTATTTTAAATTTCCCTCCTGACGATTGCGTCTCGCATGGCCTGAGAGCTCACCAACAATGAATAAGTCCAGCGAAAATCCGGAGGAGGACAGAGTATCCCTCCAGAGCGACGGAAAGATGCAAGCGAACGGAGTGGCGAAAGAGGCTCTCGGCGTTCTCCAGACGTTCAGGCGGAGCATTAGGCGACCCGCCGAGAAAAGCCCCCGCTCACCCAACAGGAAGGAGTCAAAGGTCACATCCAGAGCAGAGTCAGAGTCGCCCTCCTCTCTACCGCCAGGCTCGCCCAGTGAGTAACGTTCAAACTCAGCCCCCAAAGCTTGTCCTTCTTGTATCTTTTACCCCTAGAACAGCAGGTGTGATGTCATTGAAATGACCTTTTAACCCTCTGAATATTCTCAGAAGAAGCATGAGCTAAACACTAGAGTTGGTGAACTTCGTAGCTGTTAGGTAATCCTTTACACAGGGAGAAACTCTACTGAGAGCACAGCTAAAGAAATCTGTGATCAAGCACACATGGTGTTGTAATGTTGATTATCTTTTTTTTCCATAAAGAACCATGTAGAAAACTTGTGTAAACTTGTCGTCCTGATGTTTGTTTTGTAAGTGAGCTGGTATAAGGGTGCTGGAGGACCGGAGCGAAATCTGGCAGCAGCAGAGCTAAATAAGCCAACAAAATGGAATACCAGTCCTTGTTTATTCGCAGTGTCATTATTAGTCATTAACAGAACGTTTTTAAAGATGTACCGTAGTATGTACCTTTTACAGAAAAAAGTCTTTTTTTTTCATATTTGTTGAAACTGTCACACACAAACCTACCAAACATGGCTGCTCACTTGTGCAAGGAGAGCTTTAACAAGGGAGGCAACAAAGAGCCCAATGGCAACTATATGGAGGAGCTCAAACAGGAAGATATGTTGACAGGACAACTGTAAGGAGAAAGCTATGTCGGGAACAAAGCTATTTTAGAAGTTACTGTAGTGAAAGGAGAAAACACCTGAACTGCTTGGCCCACACGTCTACCGGTCTGTAG